ACTTGCTAATCATTACATTACGTTTCAGTCAGTTATATGCAATGCGGGATACACGCTTAGGCGGTCATGTATCAAAAGATACATGACTGACGAGGCAGATATTTTTTCCCGCGGTAGGTTAATATTTCTTTCTGCAGTAGACAAGTTATCCTCCAAGGATATAGAACCCGGTCTTTCCTGCTATTTACCCAGAACTGGGGCCAAGTAGAAGAGGATTCATACCTTTCCCAATTTTCTATGCGTGGCACAAGGCAGAAAGTTTAGAGCATCCAGTGAAGATCGAACTCACTACAAATTTTAAATTGATCTAGCAAGATAAGCTTGATAATCATTACATCACGTTTAAGTACCATAAAAGATGCGTCGAACTCGAAATTGTGGAGCATCTATTGAGGACGGAACTCACTGCTAAGTTTAAATTGATCTAGCAAGATAAGCTTGATAATCATTACATCACGTTTAAGTACCATAAATGATTTTTTATGCGTAGCTTGGATGTGGCACAAGCCCGAAATTGTGGAGCATCCATTGAGGATGGAATACACTACTAAGTTTAAATTAATCTAGGAAGATAAGCTTGCTAATTATTACATCGCGTTTAAGTACCCTAAATGATTTTCGAAGTGTAGCATAGATGTAGCACAAGGCCGAAAATATAGAGCATCTAGTGAGGATCGTCCTCACTACTTAGTAGTAATTGATCTAGCAAGACAAGCTTGCTACTCATTACGCTAAATCAAAGTGCTCAGATTCAGAATTGATATGCATTGTAGTTTAATTTCATGACACAGTTTTGATCACACACATTTTTTTTTAATTCACTCATTTTAAAGAAAGTTCTGGAAACTTTTTCATATTCCTTTTTTGATTTCTTTTTCTTCTCATTTCTTCGTTTATTGATACTCATTCTTTTTCTTCTTATTTTTTCTTTGTCGCTAATTTTCTTCTTTTCACCCGAACATTTATTTGACTTGATTTATTTTGGTGAATTGACACGGATCTATCGTTTATCCGGGCCTTCACAATCCGAAAAACGAAGAAAAAATATTTTTATTCCTTTGAAGATATTTTGTTTTGTGGTCAGCCATTTTTTTTCATCTGTTCTAACATTTTCCTTTATTGCTTTCATTCATTCAATTTATTTTTATTTTATGTTACTTCCATCAATTTATTCGCCTTTTTATTCATCAACCTCTCTTAATTTCTCAAGAATCTTTGTCTCATTTTTATTTTTATTTGTTTTTTTTTTAATCTGTTACTTTTTTTAATAGATTCCTCCTCCATTTTAGGTTTTAAAATTAGACCTGATTTCCCTCTAGTTTGTCTTGTTTTCTTTCTTTGTGTTAATTCTATCAATTTTTGCTTTTTGATTCATTTAGCCGCTAATCTTTCTTTTTTTTTTCTTTCAAAGCATTTCTTTTTGTGCAAATAAGTTACTTTCTCCTAATTCATCAGCTAATATTAATTTCTCTCTAGTGTTTGTTTCTTTAATTCTTTATCCATTCCTAATTTGTTTCTCCTCTTTCTTTCTTTCATTCTTTCTTTTTTCTTTCTTTTATTCTTTCTTTCTTTATAATTTGTTCGTCTTTTTTCTTCCTTCCTTCCTTACTTTTTAATGTGTTCCTCATTTCCCTTTATTCCTATATTATTCCTCTTCTGTCTGTCTCTTTCTTTCTTTCTTTCTTTCTTTCTTTCTTAATAATTTGTTATTTTCTTTCTTTCTTTCTTTCTTTCTAATTTGTCTTTTCTTTCTTTTTTTCAGTTTTACTAATTTGTTCATCTTTTTTCTTTCTTTCTAATTTGTTTATCTTTCTTTCTTTTTTTCTTTCTTTCTAATTTGTTCCTCTTCTTTCTTTCTTTTTAATATGTTCATTTTTATCTTTCCGTCTAATATGTTCATATTTTATTTCTTTATTTCTTTCTTTTACTTCCTTTCTAATCTGTTCCTCTTTTTTTCGTCTGTCTGTAATTCTTTCTGTCTAATTTGTTCCGCTCTATTTATTTTCTTTTCTTTCTTTCTTTCTTTCTTTCTTTCTTTCTTTCTTTCTTTCTTTCTTTATAATTTTCCTCTTCTTTCTTTCTTTTATGATATCCCTTTTCTTTCTTTATTTCTTTCTTTCCTTCTAATATTTTCATTTTGTTTCTTTCTTTCTTTTTTCATTCTAATTTGTTTCTCTTTCTTTTTTCTTTCTATCTAAATTGTTCCTCCTTTTTCCTTTTCAATTTGTTCCTCTTATTTCTTTCTTTCTTTTATTTTTAGTATGTTCCTCTTCTGTCTTTCTTTCTTTCTTTTTTTCTTTGTAATATGTTCTTTTTTCTTTTTATTTATTTCTTTCTTTTTCTTCCTTTCTAATTTGTTCCTCTTTTTCCGTCTTTTTCCGTCTTTTTCTGTTAATTTGGTCGCCTTTATTTTTCTTTCTTTTTTATTCTTTTTCTTTCTTTCTTCTTAATTTTCCCCACATTCTTTCTTTTATTATGTTCCTTTTCTCCTTTCTTTCTTTTTGTAATATATTCATTTTGTTTGCTTCTTTCTTTCTAATTTGTTCCTCTTTCACACGTTATTTCTTTCTTGCTTTTGTTGTTACTTTCTTGTTTTTGTTTTTGTTC